GCGTTCCAAGCAGTCGTGTCTACCTACCACATGACGATCAAATATCCTGTGGGGGAACATGTAGGCGAGATTGCGGGGGACCAGCTCACGTCGAGGAGTTGCTATCAAACCACAGTCAGTAACAACAAACAGATGGCAGAAAGGCAGTTGAAAGGCAATGAGGTGAGGCCTGATCGACCAGGAGGATCACGAGTGAAAGAGGAGAGAGGAGGACAAGACAAGGGAAAGGAGAAGATAGACATACAGCCCGGAGAGGAGATTGAGGAAATTCAAATGGTGCAGGGATGCGATGACTGAAAATTCAGGATTGGGAAAGATTTGGGAGAGCCAATCAGGTCGAAGCTGATCAATCTAATAAGGGAATTAACGGACATTTTTGCGTATACAACGGATGAACTAACGGGGATCGAGGCCAGGGTGATCGAGCACAGACTTAATATTGATCTCAGTGTGAGGCCGGTGAAGCAAAAGAGAAGGAATCATGGTGCGGAGATGGACAAAATCATCGAGCAGGAGGTCGACAAGCTGATGAACACTGGGAACATTAAGAAGATTCAGTTCCCTGAGTGGTTATGTAACACAGTAATGGTGTCCAAACCGGGAGGAAAGTGGAGGATGTGCATCGATTTCCGTGATCTAAACAAGGCTTGCCCGAAAGATCTATATCCGCTGCCAAGGATCGACCAGCTGGTAGACTCCACGGCGGGGTGCGAGTTGCTTAGCCTGATGGACGCCTCCCAGGGGTATCATCAGATCCCCTTGGCGAAAGAGGATTGGAAGAGAGTGAGCTTCATAACAAGCAAAGGCACCTATTGTTATGTGGTCATGCCGTTTGGATTAAAGAATGTCGGGGCCACTTACCAGCGGTTGGTCGACCAAATTTTCAAAGACCAGTTGGGGAGGAATATGGAGGTGTACATCGATGACATGCTGGTAAAGAGTAAGGTGCAGGTGGACCACGTGGGCGACTTGAAGGAGACTTTCCAAACACTGAGGAGGTTCGGCATGAAGCTCAACCCAGCTAAGTGCTCGTTTGGTGTAAAAGCTGGGAAGTTCTTGGGATACATGGTAACAAAGCGGGGCATAGAGGTGAATCCCGAGAAAGTAAGAGCTGTGATCGAAATGAAGCCACCGTCCAATGTGAAGGAAGTCCAAATACTAACTGGTCGAATAGCAGGGCTAAGCCGATTCATTTCCAAGGTGGCTGAAAAAAGCAGCCCTCTGTTCAAAACCCTGAAGAAGAGCTCGAAGTTTCAGTGGACAGAGGAAGCTCAGAAAGCCTTCGAGGAGCTGCAGGGGACGCTGGCTAATTTACCCTTACTGGCCAAGCCAATTCATGGAGAGGAACTTGTGCTCTACATATCTGTGGGCGAGAGTGCAGTAAGCTCAGTATTATTGCGGGAAGAGGGAGTGGCGCAATT